ACATTCAAGAATTTCTCTCAATTTCCCTGGTAAAATTTTGCCCAACCAAACAACTTTTTTATAGCTTTCCTATCTAACTCACTTTCCCTACAGATCCCCAGTAATTATATTTCCCTAGTAAATTTTTTTTTCACCTGAACCAAACACCCCCTGAACGACGGCAACTGGAGTTGAACGACGGCGTAAGGGAGAGAGAGACGAACCAACAAGAGAGAGGGTTGAGGATGGTGCTTAGCGGTTGATGGGAAAACCCTAAACCGAAAGATAGATTTTATACTACTAATAGGAAATTACGAAATCAATCGTTATGCAGGTTGACACGTAAACACGCAGGTCAATCCGTGACCCGCCATGCGAAAAAAATGTCAATTTTTACAACCTTTACACAATGCGTTTGAACCCGCAGGTTTACACAACATTCATTTTGGCGGGTTGTGTTATGGGTCAACACGTAGGTCAGAACCTATTTTGCCACCCCTATAACTGATATTATTAACCGTTAAGAACTATTGAACTAGTGAGCAATTAAACAAGGTAACACACTTTGAAGACTGAAGAGTTAACTTTGCCATTTTCCGGGTGTACAGGCTTGAAAGGTTCTGTTTTCTTCATTTATTTATGGGTTTAAAGTCTCTCATGTTATAAGAAATAAAATTATCTTTTACACATATATAAAAGTATGTGAGACCCATATATATATTTTTTCTTTCTTTTTTCTTCACATGGTCCTATATGGGCCACACACACTTTTATATATGTATAGAAAATAATGTTATCTTTTATAACATGAAAAATAATAAAAAAAGTCAATTGTAGGTTGTAGACTTGGCACAGTCATACGTGTTAAGACAAGCTTCAGGAAGAAATTTCACTTTCATTTTACTTCTTCATAATATTTTTTGGAGCAAAAGTAGGATCTTGGTTTTCACACGAGTTTACACCGTGTTAGTTTTCATTATTATTTTTTTGAATATACGGATAATTTTTTTAATTTTATTCTTATCTGGTAAAATTATCGTGAAATTAAATTGGAAATTATTATTATATATAAAGAATGAAAAAGACACTATTTTATTCCATATATATTGTTTATATTTTTAATTTAATTCTTAGGTTTTGCTCTTTTACAATTTTATTATAAAATATTATAATAATATTAAGTGACATCAAACTCCAAATAAAAATACAAACAAAACAAGTGAAAAAATGATGCCATGGGACAATATTTTATAATAAGTTGCTGAGATATCAAATAAAACATTAATCAGTGGCAAGTAATTGCATGTAATTAACGACCTGATAGGGTGTTGACATTGACTGTTGATTCTTGATCCTGACATGGGAAGCTTTTCAGTTTTCTTAACATAGGAGAAGAGTCAAGGGTCGATTACATTTTCAGTTTTTAACTTTTTACCCCCCACTTTTAATTTACCCTTTTCCAGTGTACCTCTTGAACTTCCATTCCATGTGCCTCAACAAATCAAAGAAAAATCAACAACCTCCTTTTCCCGAATAAAGAAACAGATTTAGGCGTCCTTTAATATAAAAAATAAAATAAAACCAAACCTGTTATAGACTTGTCTGAATAGCATAGTATTATTTTAGGCATCGCTAATGGCATATTCCCAATCTGGTATGCCATAAAAATAGTGACTTGACATTGTCAGTTATGCCATAAAAATAGTGACTTGACATTGTCAATTATATATATATATATATATATATATATATATATATATATGGTTGTATTTATCTTATATTTCATAAGATAAACATGTTTTTTACACACACAAAGTGGAGGTAGGTCTCACTTGTAATTTTATTTCTATAACATGAGACAATTGTTTTTCTACAACATAAGATAAATATAACCCTATATATATATATATATGAAAAAAAAATTACTATGTATTTTTAGAAATACATAATTAAAATAGTAAAAATTGTTTTTTTCTCTCCACCACATCAGCAGATAAAGTCTAAAGAGAGAGAAAAAATAGCTTTATAAAAAATAGCTACATATTCCTGGAAGTGCATAATTATTACTTTTTTTGCAGGACCTAACTTTCTTCCTACAACATGATACAATAATTTTTCTTTTAAAAAACTGTAAAATTTTAATTATTCATAAAAAAATAAGAGGGCAAGGTTTATATATATATATATATATATATATATATATATATATATATATATATATATGGCTTATTATTTCTCAAGTTACTTGAGATAATTTTATCTCCAGCTATTAAATCATAATCGTACAAAGATGGATCAACGGTGATAAAGGAAAAGAGAGAAAAAAGGAATCATAACCATTCAAAGGTAAGTCAATTAATATAAGGAAATAAATAAACAAAATGACGTAGTTTTGGGATGCCGAAGATAAATATATCTCAAGCAAGTTGAGAAATATTTGAGTAATTTTATCTCCTATAAATCCATTGAAAATCGTGATTTTTTTTTTTTTTTTATAAATAACATGCCTACCATATATGTGTCTACAATATAAGAGATCTTTTCTCATATAACATGAAATTAGATGTACGAGATATATATATATATATATATATATATATATATATATATGGGCTTGCAATTTTTCATCTTGCACGAGAAATGCAAATTTTCTTACATGGGTGGGACCCACCTTAAAGAAAAAAATAAAAAATAGAAAAGTGATTGACATGGATATCGAAATGAGAGTGGAAGGAGATGAGGTTTCTCATGCAACATGATAAATCTATTTTTCTATGTATATATATATATATTTTTCCTTCACATATAACATAACATAGGGGCACAATCTCCCAATTTTCCAAAGAACCAGGGTTCAGAGCCTCAGATGGGTCAGGGTTCAAGTACCTGGAGTGTCTAAGGGTGCACCCCGGAAGGTGTTGAATGCATCCAAAACTGTACTAAAGCACTCTTGGGTTACACGCGCTCTTAATCTGTTCATATCATTATGGTAATGTCATCATCGTACAATTCTCACTTTCTCCTTGGTTTTCTCGATATCCTGTCTTTTCCCCTCTGATCTAAAGTAAAGGAGCTATATTGTTCCTTTTCTTAAATAAGGATATGCAATTTCAACTCACCCCAAAGTATATTTAATAACGGGTTTTATGTTGTTATGTTACATGATGTAACATAACAAATCTACCTACACAATTGAGAAGGGAGAGGAGACAGAAAAATTAAAGAGACGAGATTCACATAAAATTGTATGTGTATAAAAAAGTTATGTTACATCATGTAATATAACAAACATAAAATCCTTTAATAATAGTTGACTGCATATACTCAATTAGAGAGCAGTGTTCCTTGAAATTAAATGTGCATAAAAACTTCTTGTGCAAAATATATTATTGTTATTGTTACTTTTAGTACAACTAGCGTATTAAAGGCTATATAATAATAGTATAGTAATAGAACAAATGATAATATACATAATATATAAAATTTATATGATTTCTTCTTTTGGGTTCTTAAATACTTGTGTGCCAGTGAGGACATTGGCCTTTAATAAATTATCTATAGTATTGCTGAAAACTCACTGAAGTAAAACGTCAAATTCCACATATATTGAGTTCCAAAAAATATAAACAAGTTCGATTAACGACTTAACTTCTTAAAAAATTTAAAACTAAACTTTAGCCCAATGGGTCATAAGTCCATTTATTTAATTATGCAAATTTCTCTTTTATTTTGACAATACAGATTACAGTTAGAAAACTGAAATAAAAGAAAACATTGTTATAAGCTCAGTGCAAGTTCACAAATCCATTTTTAGGGCTTTTTGATTGCACTATTCTTTTTAATAAAAAAAAAATACTTATTTAATTCATCTTTGGAACAATTATCCAAATTCATATGATAATATTGTAAGTTAACATGTCAATGACACAAGATTTAGTGTCAGCAAAAAGCTCACGCACGGCAAACTTACAAAACTCTTTAGTGGGAGTTTGGCAGAGAATTTTTTTTATCAGGGAATCACGATTTCCAAAAATATGATGAAAAAATGAGTTTTCTGGGGATGTTACCAAAAGTTGTTGGGTAAACTAACATATTCCCAGAAATATTGAGTTAATTTTCTTGATATTATGTTTAGTTGTATTAAATTTTTCATTACCATAGAAATCTTAAAATACCACCTTTTAAATGGTATTCTTGGATGATTTTTTCAAAAAAAATTACACAAAATAAAATCCCAGGAAAATCGGATTCCCAAGAAAATTTTGAAATCTTGTACCAAACGTAGATAAATAAGTTTACCATTTTCAGTTTCCCGAGAATCCAAAAAAAATCTCTGTACCAAACGGCCCCTTAAATCCCGCATTTAAAATGCACACGGAACTAGTCTTACATTACACGGAACTAGACTTACATATATTTTAACAGAAAAATATTTATGCAATTACTGCAGATTAATTATCTATATTTATTTTCAAAATGATGTCATTATAAAATTAAAAAATTAAAAATTTATAATTATAGAGACTATAATAATTAATAACCCTAAAATAAATTTAAATAACAAAAACACCATAATTTCCGCCTTAAAACGACATCGTATTGGGCTTAGTTATCTGCGGTAACTACAGAAAAAACGAACCCATAATTTAATTTAAAAACCACACAAATATCCTCATTTTCTCATGTCATTCCTCTTTTAAGTCTCACACGAAAACAATACGAAATTAGTAAAAATAATGATTTAGAAGGAAACACACTTCGCAACAAAACTAAATTGAAGCCAGTAGTAGGCCATAGCCTTTGTCAATACTTTCTTTGTTAGCTTCCTTAAAAAGTCTCTAAATTTAGCAATGATAAATTCTCTCCAAAGAGCAATGAAGAAAGCAAGACATTAATTGGTACAAGATGTCTTATCAGAATGATCATAGCATTAAAATTTTTGCCCTCTGACATTTGATTGCATCATTTTAGATGAAAAAAGAAAAAGAAAACGTGGAATATGAAATCAATGTTAAATGGCCTTTTTCAAAGAGACAGACAGGTAAATTTTAAAGTTTCAATGTCAAGGAAAGGAAGAGCAAATGAATGTTGTGGCTATTCGTGCAAGGGAGAATATTTTGCAAACCCTCTTCAGAGCCAGAGCCATCAATTAAATCAAATTATGATACAATTATGTAAGGCAGACAATAAATATACAAACTGCAGCATAACCAATTTTCCTCTTCCTACAGAAGAAAAAACTACAATTATTTCACGGATCTAACCAAACAGCACCTTCAAACTTCTAAGTGTCAGTCATACAGGCCCTCTTGTTCCCAGATATCCACAAGAAAATCTACCATTTCCTAAAAATATTGATATGAACAAGACACATCAGATAACCAATATTTTAACTTTGTACTGCATGATGGCTCAGAAGTAGATGCTTACCCCAAGAGGGATAGGCTGAGGGAATTGCTTGTTGTTCCCCAGTAAACTTTCATATGTTGCATTCCAACTGCAGAGCCAAACGGAATTGGTATTTACCAATTTGTCAATTTGTACAAGTACAAGAATCAAGTAGTACTAAAAGAAAAATGACATTGCAATTTTGCAATAATCCCAACACAATTTCAATATATTTAAACTGAAAGAAACATAAGAATTCTCGGAAAGGTTCTAACTAACAAAGGTATTCATAAAATTAGCACCCGTTATATAAAGTGCAATAGAGCATCCATTTAGACTTCATGCATTGTCAAATTTTTAAAGCAGAATGGATCAAAGAACAAATGCAAAAGGGTTCTATAAAACTACCCACTAAAAAAAACAAAAATAAGAACTAAAAATTTATAAAGCAAAACTGTTTGTAAAACTAATCAAATAATTTACCTCAATTTGGGTTCTCGCAATTGTTGTGTTCCGTTCTCAGATCTTTTATTTCCTACCCAACGTTGCCGAGTCTGATTCCAAAGAACAAGACCTGCAAAAAAAAAAAAAAAAACTCATGTTTTTTCACGTTCTCCTTTACCAATTTTCGTAAGTAAACTTGCAAGTAAAATAACCAATGATTGCACCACTATCACATCTTCCAAAATCTCATGCACTTCAATTTAATATAGCTAGATAGATAGTCAACAAGATATAAATAGGGAAACAAAATGAAAAACTGACTAAAATTTCCAAGAAACCTTTTCAGTTATAAAAAAGGTAATCCATCTATACCAGATCAGAACTAAAATTGAAGAAAAGCATATATCAGCAGGAAAAAAGGGGGTGACAGTCAACAAAATTACACATATGAACATTGCATGACCCAAAAGAAAGGTATATGAACTGTGGTCTTCAAACCTAGAAAAAGATATCAGTCAAAAATTAAATATAACAATGTGCAATATAAGAATCCAATCCCCCTAAAAGCAAGCAACCAAGGCATCTTGATAAAGGAGAACAATATGTGAAAGCTAAATTGAATCACCATTATACTTAAACCACATTTCATATATTAGCTTCAACATGTATCAGATACAATACGCCACAGACCCCCAGAATGGTCAGCCCAATTGCAAATTGCATGGGATAACTAGTCTTGTTGAAAACAAATCTGATCAATCCACAATGGGCAATGGATGCTAACAGCTTTCAACATGCAACGCCATATTATTACTTTTTTCATTTAATTTTTTTCTTTATTAAAAAATATATTAAAGTATCATATGTCCATGTAATAAAATATTAAAAAATAAGAGCAATGGAATATACCATGATTTACAAATTCAGTGGGGTTGCAAGAACCACCATGAGAATCTGCAGCTTGGTTTGTTACACTGGTTGATGAGATGCTTCCCTGTGACTGAACAGCACTATTGTCCATGTCATACGTGCTGGTGGTCCAGAAATCCTCTGATGTGCTGGGTTTCTTCTCCGCCTTACCTTGTTTTGCCAATCTTTTTGGTGGCACATCCCCTGCAGAAATTAGTGTGGGCTTTTTATAGCTTCCAAGACAACCACTGCTCTGTTACAATGACATTAAATTCGGTTATGCATCACAATATAATCATATGATTGTCTAAAACAGTCACCATAAATCCAAATACTACAGTTTAATAGCCGCAACTTGGTTTACTCAGACTGCATAATGTACTTTTTTTAATTAATTGGTAAGTTCAGATTTGCTCTCCCAAAAGAGAAAAAGCAATAGAAAATTACAAGTATATTCAACCAATAAAAATCAAAACACTAAATTTTTCCCTCTATCAACCCTTCCCATGCCTATATCTACACCAGTACACTACACAGGTACCACCTATCTCCCTGTGCCGAAAGTTGGTGCCCTTGCATAACTCCTGATATAGGTAGCTGAGCACAGCAGAAATTGAGTGAAATGTCCAGCCTCGTTGAAGTGGGGGAAAGGGGTATTCATAAAGGTGGCAAAACGGGTCCAACCCGTCAGGATGGCCCGTTTAACCCTAAAAAAATGATGAGGAATCTCAACCCTTTTGAATCTGCGCCACTGCAGGGTGGGTCAAAACAAGTTCAAACCACCATGGGGCGACCAGTCTCAATTTTATTTGTCATGTCAAGCATTTGTGATATCCAAAATTTTAATCTTAGTACTCCTCTATAACATAGTTATCAAATGCGGATTGCGGCATGTCGCGGCCAACCCCGAAAAACGCTATAGCGTTATAGCGGGTTGCGATTGCGGAAATAGCGGAATAGATATATGATAGAAATAATGACAAAAAGAAACATTTTTTAAAGGCAGAGATAGCAGAAGTGATAGAGAGAGACGCGGATAGGCTAAAAAACCCTTAAATTTTTTGTTACACATTTAAATTTAGAACAAAATTGACATTTTGCCTTATGACAGCAATATGGCCGAAAATGATATCGCAGTAGCCGCTATTGCGTTCCGATACGACGCGGCACGATTTCTAGCGGCGAGGCACCGCAACGCCCATACGGCGCGGCTCGCGACGCTATTGCGGCGCAATTAACTACTATGCTCTATAAAAGATAAAGAAGAAAATATTTTATTTATGACAAAGATTATCTATATATGGAGGCAAAAATGAGTTCTTAGAGACTGTGAGACTGAATATTAACATACATTTAGGTTTAAGATTGGAAAAAATTAACGGGAGTGTGAATGAAATTAAATAATACTATAAAACTCATAAAATAAGATTTTTTTTCTAAATTTTTAATTTTTAAATGGGTGGCGCGGGTTGATATTTTCAACCCACTTTTAAGAGGTAGGTTGTCCCATTTTTGGCAGTTTGGCGGCAGCTTGGGGAGGGTCGGGCATGCTAACCCACTTTGCCACAACAGTAAAATTGCTCCTTGTGACTGGAAGGTCACGGGTTCGAGTTTGAAAAAACCGCCTCTTTGCAAAAATGTAAGGGTAAAACTATGTACAATCGACTCCCACCCCTATCCTCATAAATTGGGAAGGCTTGTGCATCGGGATTTACCTTTTGCCCTTTTAAGGGAGAAGTGCTAGCTGCAATAGCAGCTCTTCCTGGGATGCCACCGGTCATTCCAACCCCAGGCACAGTAAATAAATTTTTCGGTAACCCTAAACTTCTAAATTTTTTTTCCCGACCTAAATGGCTCAATCAGCCTGAAAGTAAAGCAAAAAGGAAAAAGTAAAGTAAAATTAATGAATCATTGAATCATGCAATTCGTATCGGACTACAAGTGAAACAGAATCACACCGATTCATATACATATCTCACAATTCAAAGCCATCACTAATTCATCCTATGATACAAATAGCTGGCTTGCCAAATTGTATCGAATAGTGAAATTCAAATTATGATATAAGTGTAAAACCCATCCCATAAACACATAAACAGCTCCACACATGCAGCTTCATGGTTTTGATTCTATTTACGGTCTCAACATTAAGAGGGAAAAAAAAAAAAAAAAAGTACAAGTCAACCGATTGACCAACTATTTTATCATATAGCTGAGCTATACTATAGTCAGTCTTGATTCCTTTTTATAAAATTTCCAGACAGCCATATAAATCAAAACAATTCACCAAACAAAAAATACATATTATTCCCAGATTTCAACGCAGAATGAACAATCATCTGTGTCATACAATAACACATACCACTACATGGTTATCACTACTGGTGAATATGAGCAAAATTATTGATACCCATCAAGGGATGAACGGGAAAACTGCAAGAAAAATTTAAAAAGGAGTTTAATTTCTTTAGTTACGGTTGGATTCAGAAAACATACCCCATATGCAAACAGTATCTGAAATACCCTCAAAAACCCTAGTCAGATCTGCTAGGCGGGTATTTGAAGAAGACGAACCCCGATTCCAGCAAAGGAAAATCAGTGGCCAATACTGAAAATTCCAAAAAAAAAAAAAAATCAAAATAATGAGAAAGTAAATTAGAATTTTTTAAAAAAAAAATATGCGTAGACAAATAGAGAGAGAGAGAGAGAACAGATTGGATTTACAGCTATGTTTTTTGGACTCTGTTTCTTCTTCTTCTTTTGCAGCTAAAAGGTTTAAAATGGAATAATAGGGTGATTAATGATAATGAACTATTTATGCAGCAGTTTTTACTTTTTATTATTTAATTAGTTTTCAACTGTGTATGGTAGGATTTGGTTGCTGACTTGCTCTAGACAAAACAGTTTACTTTAGAAAATTATCAAAAAGAAAAGAAAAAGAAAAAATAATTAAGATTCACTTCGTTACAAAAGCAACAATTGAAATTACGATAAAATGTTTTCCAAAAAAAAAAAATTAGGATAAAATATTTTTTGGATTCTATTTTTTCACGTTGTTGGAGGTAATTATCTCTTACTATAGACACATGATACATTGGGACTCACCACCTATTAAAAAAAAAAATATATATTGAAACAATCTTTGATATGAGAATAACATGTGGGAACACTGACCATTTTGTCACGTTTGAACAAAAAAATTACCAGACTGTCACGTATACAGTAGATTTTGCCAAAATGCCACGCGGCATAATTCGCTACACAGTGTAGCGAAATATTCTACGTCAGAACCAAAAATATCACATGTCAAATTTTGAGAAATTCGCTACCCTATGTAGTGAATTTCTCAAAATTTGACATGGTGGCATTTTTGGTTCTGTGCATTCTGACGTGACATATTTCGCTACACTGTGTAGCGAATTATGCCGCGTGGCATTTTGACAAAATTTACTGTTGACGTGACAGTCTGGTAATTTTTTTGTCCAAGCATGACACTTTGGTCACTGTCCCTAACATGTGATAATTATCTCATGTAAAATGAGATAACGAGTTTTCAATATTTTTATATAAAATAAGATATGATTTTTTTTTTATATTTTTTCTCCTAATTTTTATTATCAGATATAACTCCTCCTTTTAAAAAATTCAATGCAATGTCATTTGCCTCCTGAACTTGGATAAAGTTATCCATTTTGTTACATTACAGATAAGAGCTGATGATCTGATGTTGACTGACTCAAGTTGACTTGCTTGTCTTGTGTATTTACATTTGGGCTCACACTACCCAGCCCAATTACAACAGGCTAATTGGGCTATTATAGTTAGCCCATTAGGCCCGACCCATTTATGTTATTATTATGCCACGTGGGTTTCACCCATATAGGGTATTCACTGTTCTTTTTTGGAAATAAGGTATTCATTGTTCTTATTCTTCAATTATAGGTTTTTGCATATCTCGTTTGTCGCTATTACTTCAATTATCTTAACCTCTGTTGCTTTTTTTTTTTTTTTCTTCTAATTTTTCTGGGTTATTCTGAATGTGATTAACAGCGGCGCATAGAAAGGAAAAGACTTTTTTTTTTTTTCATTGCTTGTGTCCTTTGGCAATGGATTTTGAATCAAATTACGATATTGCCGCCACTGCCGACTTCATTCACACTCGCAACTTCACCAGAGTTGCTTTACAAGTAAGACCCTCTTCCTCAATTCTTCACTTTCTTTCAGCTTCGGTTAAAAGTCTAAATCTTTCAACCCCATTAATAGTTAAGAGTCTACCTAGACACTTGTTTGGTTACTGAGAAACCTGAACAAAACACAACTAATTGACATGCTATAAAATTTGAAGGTCCTTGCTAAAAATCTACGAAGCACCGATACATCAAAACCCTGACGTGTGTCCGACACTCCTCGACACTCCCGACACTCCAATACGCGTTATAGAAATTTAAAAAAAAGTTTAAAAATTGAGTTGCTTTGAGTTTTTAGTTCCAATTATTAAATTCATAGGATTATAATTGCCATTTTATTGAGTTTAATACTAATATTTGGAATATCTTATGTTTCTTTGCAAAATTAATGAATATTATAAATTTAGTTTCATTTCTTTATTAAATTATTGAATATTAAATATAATATACACTACATAAAATAAAAATATTATTTAATATTAAAACGTGTCTTAACGTGTCGAAATCTAACATTTTTTAGAATTAACGTTTTTGGAGTGTCATATCGTGTCCCGTGTCGGTATCGGTGTTACATAGCTAAAAATCTTGTCTTTATTAACACTTCCCCCCAACCCCAAAGTAAAATTTGAACTTTTAAGGTTTCGGTGGTGGAATTTTCCTTGCAAAACTATTAAAACAACTTGTCTTTATCGATGGGTGTTATTACTAAATTTTGCTCAATTGTGATGATATTTCTGTATGAATTTCAGTTTCCAGATAATCTCCTAAAAGATTCAACAAGAGTGGTCACTGCTCTGCGGAAGAGACTTCAATCATTGAGAGAATTTGATGTCACAGGAAGTGGGGATGTGACAGATGTTGGATTATATGTGATGGCGGACACGGCTTATGGCAGTTGTTGTGTTGATGAAGTTGGAGCATCACACATTAATGCTGATTGTGTTATACATTATGGACACACATGTTTTAGCCCGTGAGTACTTTTAACACTTTTTAAAAAAAAAAATCTTAAATTAGGGCATATTACAAGTCCTGTATCTTTCTTTTCTCATATCATATTATAGAGTGTAGAGATGTATCTGATATAATTATTGCCCTCAGTTTATGATACAGCCTAGTCATTTATGCTGTTGTGTTGGGCGTTACATTATCTATTAAGGTATTATGGAAAATGCACGACTCATAGTTCCATAGTTTCTTTTGGATTCAATTCATTCCTTGAGTACTTCTATTCAAATGTTCTTACATGTCTGTGGCAGCAATTGGTTGCTTAGTTTAATTTTTTATGTTGCTTTAGGGTTGAGGTTCTACATCATGTGTTTCCACTAAAGTCCTCTTTTCTCTGTGCAGGACGACAACTCTACCAGCTTTTTTTGTTTTTGGGAAGGCTTCCATTTGCATAGCTGATTGTGTTGAAAGTATGTCAAAATATGCTCTGACAATTAGCAAGCCTATACTGGTATACCTAATTTTTTTTATCATTTCTGGGTTTCTAGTTTTATAAAATAACTGAATTTCGTAACGTATAGAAATTGAAGTAGCTGCAAGTATCCTCTGCTGATATATGCTCAGACTATAAAGTGGACTTTCAGTGTAACAATAAAGAAAAGCTTCATTAATATTGAATAATGTCCTTTTTCACATCTTTAGATTCTTTACAAGGCTTAGTTGAGCTGATTTAACATGAAATAAGGATTTTTCCTGCAAGCCTAAATAAGAGAAGTTTGAGGGTATTTTTATCCAATATAAGTGTCTGGCATTTAAAAGTGTTGTGGACCATTTTGTATTATTCCTATTGCAGGTTCTTTTTGGGCTGGAATATGCACATTCAATTCTTCAGATTAGAAAAGCACTGTTAGAATCATCAATGTCATGCAGATTTGACCTTAAGTCAGAAGCTTGCTTTGCTGATGTTCCATCTTCAGTTATGTTTCCGTCAAAAGATATTAAAAGATTAAATGGGCTCCAAGAACCAGATGGTGGTTATAGTAATAATGTCACTTCTGATGGGGAAAATGGGAGTATATGTAGCATTGGAGGACTAACTTGGAAATTACCCAAGGGAAAAAGCATGGAAGACTACTCGCTCTTTTGGATTGGACCTGATAATTCAGCTTTTGCAAATGTTGTGCTCACATTTAATGCCTGTGAAATAGGTTGATAATTTATCCTATCCTCTCTGAAATTTTTCCTGCTTGTGTCTGTATTATTCTAATTTTCTTTACATGCTACAGCATCTATATATTGCATATAGAGACTTATCCTTCTTTCTCTAGGGTTTAGGGTTTATAATTTGACTTCAGATCTTCTGCTTTACATTGTGACGTCTTTTCTCATGGTGTGGCACGAGGAAAGTAGGTAAAAAGATGTCAACTATATATATATACTTGGCATGCATCTAGCATATAGAAAATGTGACTACAGCTTGACTCCTTTTCAGCTATAGGTTCTTTATGGATCATTGTTTTAATTATGATGCTGTTGGTTTTAGTCAGATATGATGCCACTGAGAATCGAATGATGGCAGACTTTTCTCAACAGAGGAAGATACTTAAACGTAGGTATGTATCCCAATACACACTAATTCTTCATGTAAACCATCTTATATCTATAAAAATTACTAAGGTCAGGTGATAACTATGCAGATATTACCTGGTGGAGAGGGCTAAGGATGCTAATATTGTTGGGATTTTGGTTGGTACTCTTGGTGTTGGTATGTTTTACAACCAAAATTTTGGTTCAAAATTATATTGTCACGTGCCTTGTTAAGCATGATTGTAAATTTCCCAAGTACATTTGATTTGAATGTTGTTGTCAAGTGAGAAAAGGATCTAGTGAGCGAACCCTTATTGTTACTAACCTTGAATGAAATGAGAATAATATGTGCCTGAATTGAGGAACAATATTCTGTGAGATAAGGCATCATTTGGTTGTTGCCTGATATTTACAGAATATTCAGTTATATGGTGGGATCGGGTGGATTGATCATTGTATTAGTGATGGTTTAGGCATATAGCATAGCAGGAATGAATAACACCTGTGCAAACTACCTCTCCAGTCTCTTATTGTGATACAGCAGTAAATATTTTATTCTGTTTGTTTACAACAGAAATGGGAATTAATTTAACATATTGGATTGTGATGCAGCTGGTTATCTGCACATAATAAATCAGATGATGGAGCTCATCACTGGGGCAGGCAAGAAGGCCTATACTATGGTCATGGGAAGACCAAACCCAGCTAAACTTGCTAACTTTCCTGAGGTGAAGTTCTATTCATTCTTAGTGTATACTTCAGCCTGCCTTTATGTCTGAAAACTTGCTAACAGAGTTTGGTTTTATCAGTGTGATGTTTTCGTATATGTCTCTTGTGCACAAACTGCGCTTCTGGATAGCAAAGAGTATCTAGCTCCAGTTATTACTCCCTTTGAAGCAATGATAGCTTTCAACAGGTACCCTATCGTAGTTAAATGTACATATATATTAGAAATTGTCTCTTTATTGAGCAAGCATTTTTGCATCTTCTACTTTTCTTTTTCTAAGAAGATATAAAGGATTTGGAAATTTCATGGCACCAACATTTCTCGAAATAAAATTTTTGAGATTTTTATGGTCACTACATGTACTTCAGATGGATTATTTCCATCCATCTTTATTGATATCTATACTTGAATATATGAATACATAGTTTGTTTCTCTCCAAGCTTTACAATTATGGTTTATTTTTCTTGATTTCTGATACTTCTGTGCTAATCTGTTTCCAGAGGAAGCCAGTGGACAGGAGCCTATGCATTGGAATTTGGAGATCTAATTAATTTGCCACAAGTGGAAGTTGGAAACCAGGAAGAAGAAGCACGGTTTTCATTCTTGCAGGGTGGATATGTTGAAGATTTTGAAAATCAAGGTAAATTCTATTCCTTGCTTCTATGTTTGCAACTGAATTAAAAAAACACATGAGATTGGACAAACAATTAGTGAAGATATGATGTGGTTACTGAGATTGGACAGTTACCAAATAAGGTCATATATCCAAAACCACTTTCTGTTAAACCCGACTAGCGAGTGTGGGGTGGAGGAAATCCTTGTACGCAGCCTTATCCTTGCATAATTGCAAAGAAGTTGTTTTCTGGATTCGAACCCATGACCTTTCAGTCATGAAGGAACAGTTTTACCACTGCTCCGGTTCGTCCCATTAAATAAGGTCATATATATTCAACTTAATTTATTTTCTAATTACTAAATTTGTATTTCATCAGAAAATGTTGATGAAGAAAGAGAAGCTCTTGCTTTAGTTAATGCAACAGAGAAGGCACTGCAGATTCGGGATAACTGTAATTCTGTAATAAAAGGGGATGCTAGATCAGGAGCAGAATTTTTAGCAAATAGATCTTATCAGGGTCTGAATATGGCCAATGAGAACACCTCCCCAGAACCATATTTCATAGGACGGAGAGGAAGGGCATCTGGGTACGATGATGAGAGGAACAAACAATGAAACTTTTGTGTATAGCCGTAAATGTGGAAACATTGGCTTCGCCATGTGTTGTTTGCATTAGATTGTAGTGAATGAGAGTTAGTAAGTAGGACAGGGTCTCACAAATTTAAGGAGCATGTGATTGTTCTCTGTGACAAGGTTATGTTGCCATAGTTTTGTCCAACTGTTTCAGGAACTATATAGAAACACTATTACATTACATGCATGAAACTTAATATCATCTGTTTTTATTTTATTTTTAGATTAATCATATATTCTATTTCATCTTTTCTCTCCTTTTCTATTTCTTAATATTAATTATGGGAAATAATTATCTTATGTTGCATGAGATAATTATCTCATGCAACAGAGGCAAAATAATGGGGTCCACTATTTTTTCTTTTTTTGAAAAAGTAGTGGACCCCACAATTTTATCTCTGTTGCATGAGATAATTATCTCATGCAACATGAGATTAATAGATCCCTATTATTATTATTCTTTTGTTATTTTAAATCATATTTATTTGAATTTTGTGGGGAATTCTCTGTTCAACATGTTAATGCTCGACTTTTATGAAGTTAAGAGTCATAAGGAATAAATATTATATATATACCACGCTTGGTCGCTTGCAATGGCTGCAGGGCGAGAAAAGTAAACAAGTATGGAAGTTTGACAAAATCAAAGTCTATAACCAAACGTGAAATTTCAGCGATGATTCATGGATTGGATGTCTAATTTAGCATCCTCTAGTCAAAGACACAAAGTCATAATTAATTTGCAAAATTCCTTAGTTTAGACTTTAGAGTCATGTGTTAACTGTTTGAAATGAAGAGCAACTATTTTATATGGAAAATTTCTTAAAATATCTTATCTTGTAATATTTTGTGTTAAGGGGCAGTGATATTGATTATTAGATTATTATTGAAAAAACTTTAACATAGAATTCAGTAGTCAAATACATTGATATTTATTGCTTGTTTGACTTTTTTCATACTTGCGAAATAAGTGATAAAGTCAAGTAAATAAAATATTGTATTTTTCAATTAAAAGTCCTAAAAGGTGGTAAAATAAGATTCATTACTTTGTTGATGCTAAAATTTACGAAAATAAAATAAAATTATAATTTTAAATTATAATATCAATTCTATCATTCAACTATAAAATATAGATGTAGAATATTCTTATTATCAATTTTTTTCTACTACTACTTCACTATCACTTTGATCACCATTGGAATAGAGAAAAAGTTGAAAGAGAGGGAAAAGAAAAATAACTTTTTAATTCAATGATAATTAAAAGAGTAAATACTTTTTTTCGATCCTCAGCAAATTTTACGATGTCCGCTTTAGTCCCTAACAAATAAAAAGGCTATTCGTGGTCCTTAAGAAATTCAAAGTGGATCCATTTCAGTCTTTTTGAGAGACTAATGTGAGTTTTTTTTGAATTTATGAGGGACTACGATTTTAACTAAATAGGTTCATTTTAAATTTCTTAAGACCATGAATAACATTTTTATTTGTTACGGACTAAAGTGAACATCGTGAAATTTGCTGAGAATCAAAAAGATATTTATTCTAATTAAAATGATAGCAGAGTATCAGTAGAAAAAATTGATAGTAAGAATATTTTACCTCTAAAATATGTACCGTAGATAAAATCATGCCAACAATATTTTGATGTTTTAATTTATCGTAAGTGGATGATGTTCGGGTAGTTTATCAAAAGAATGTCTCCACTTTTTTCGTGAAGCACACACTCTATTCTAATCTCATAATGCAATTTGTACCAATCTTCTTTTTAGAATTATACTTTAAGTTAGGCGCATTTGATAAGTTGCTAATTCAAGAATAAAATAACTCTAATCCGTTCCATCTCAGTGGGTTGGTCGGATTAGTTGGGGCAACTTGACCATATGTGTTGTCTATTGATTGAAGCAGGACTATGGCATACAAATCGTAATTAATGAACAAAAAAACATTAATGGTTGAGAATTAATGGATGCATCGAAATATGTTATGTGGTCCATTTTTTTCTTCGGTTCACATCCATCACCTTGTCAGCCTTGATATTGTATAGAAAGAAGTACGTATGAATAAAAAAAAAATTCTTTTATTTTTTATCTTAACAATTAAACACGTAATTTCGGATTAAATGTGATAATTTGATAATTGCATATTTAAAGTAATGATTTTAAACTTTAAAGTTGTGAAATTTGCATTAGCTCACAAAATGGCGGAGTTGGGATATTTTTTAGGGGCTAAATTATATATATCTTAAATTTATAATTAAAATAATATTATATTATATTATATATATATATATATATAGTCACATACATAAATCACAATATAATATAACATAATCCAAATAAAAATACTCACAATACAAAATTGCATAATATAAAATTTTTAAAAGAGTGAATATCAAAATTATTTCACTTTTTGTCTTGCTTTACATTATTTCATGGTGTTGAATTCTTTTATAATTGAATTTATGCTAAAATTTATAACAATGCCTTTTTCAATATAAGTAATCAAACGATTTTTTGAAATTAAATTAATCCTTCATTTTATTTGGAAGTTTAATTGATTATCAACATGACAAAAGTTAATCTTATTTATTTATTATACATTATATTTAGATAAAATTACTAGAAAATACAATCAATTTTATCATGTCTAAATTCAACTTATATTCAATTTTCAAATCCTAATTCTACTTTTCTTATATTTATTTATTTATTAATTATATATTGATAGTTAGATATATATCAAATCTATTTGAGATTTGCTACAAATCAAAATCATTTTTCTGATGTTTAAATCTACTTTTTATCCAATTTTAAAATCCTAAATTAATTCTTCTTATTTTATTTATTTATGGAAAAATTTCATAAACCCCCTGTATTTTACTCTTTTATAATTTATACCCATATATTTTTTTTGTCAATTATTTCCTGTGATTTTTTTTCCATTCGAATTCACCTTTAACACTGTAGTAATTAAATTAAGTTATTCATTTTATCCTTATTTTATGTTTGAAGTTTTGTGTACCAAAAATAAAATTTGACCCTAAGAATAAAAATAGTGCCAAAGTCTATTTAATTATGACTAAAAATGCATTTTCTAGTTTTTAATATAAAAAGTATAAGAAATCAAATTATATCTAAGTTTATTTTTACATGTTTTTAAAAAAATTCTTATTTTTATATCTTTTAACGAAATAGTTCAAATAATATTATTTTTCAACAATATCATAAGTAACTCATGTAACTACACTATGGATGATAGTGATATCAAATTATCAACTATGCATACTCCACGAGTCACGCTTATATGAAAGGGTAAATTATGTTAACTTCGTCCATTAACAATTCAATAAAGCGTAACTTTACGGATATCACTGATTCGCCTTTTCCACGTTACCATTTACAATTTAAGGGCAAATCAGTAAAATATGGATAACGAAAATGACTAATTGAACTAAATTATTTAAGGGAAATATAAGAATCGTGTTGCAGGAATAATACTGTTCATTCCTGCAACAAGGATCCGCTTCTGTATCTTAAGGATACGACGTCGTATCATGATTTTAGTCTGACTTTTTTTTTTTTTAAACGTGAGACTCACACTTAATTTGTGTGTGCAGAAAAGTGCTCTAGTTATTCACATGACAAAAAATGAACCCATTATTTAAACCAATATCGACGTAATTGAACGATCCTATTTATTAATAGGCAACTGGGACAATTTGTAAACTACAATATACAAATAGATTATGCTCCGTCGAATGTAATTTTCAAAGACTTAAACAACAACATTTTTTAATAATTAATCCGTTACATATTTGTATGAATATTTTATCGTTGTTGCTCGCCCTACGTGACGTGAGACAAAAACAGATAAAACAGATAAAAAATAAGAAAAATATATATGTATCTTTTTAAAGGATATAAAGAAAAAGAGATAAATCATGAAAAAAGACAATTTTTTTTTTCTTTTTACCCATAATTTATACTTTTCTCTTTCTTAAAAAAATCATCCTTTACAAAAACTATTTTTTCAAAAAAAAGAGAAAAAAAATCTTTTTAAAGAACATAAATTTATGTTTTTTTAATAACTTTATCCAAAATCTTACTAATAAAACTTTGTGTAAATTTCGAAAAATTATTTTTTTTCTTCTCAATCATATTACTGATGTATAAAGTAAAAAAAAAAAAAAAAATCAGATTTACACAAAACTTACAGATAAAATTGTGTAAAAGAAAAAAAAACATAAGTTAAAAATAAATATATCTAAGAGTTTATATTTCTACCGCTGTGGTAGATGCGGCAATCAAATACTTGCTATATATATACTTGAAAGCATTAATTGCAGAGAATTATAACTATACAAAGGATGAAATCTAAAAAATCATAATCGTACACGTTGTTGGTGTACGTAAAGTGACCACAGAAATAATTCTACCATATATATTTATTGTGCTTATAGTTACTTGCTATATATATACTTGAAAGCATTAATTGCAGAGAATCATAACCATACAAAGGATAAAATCTAAAAAATCATAACCGTACACGTTGTTGGTGTACGTAAAGTGACCGCAGAAATAATTCTGCCATATATATTTATTGTGCTTATAGTTATGGTGATTATTCAATTAATAATAATTAAATCTCAAACAGAATTAAGCAATAAAATATTTTCGAAGAAAACAAAACTTTGGCCAATATTTGATAACTCAATAAAAAAAAAACCACGAGTTGGACAAAGTCCAGCATCTACAACCACAAGATCTTCAAGACTTTTTTTTTCTTTTTTTTCTTTTTTCTCTTGTGTGTTAACACCCTCACCACAAAACTAAATTTGAAACGAAAATATAAAAATAAATAAATAAAAAGAACACACACAGACACAGAGAGAGAAAGAGAGAGAGAGAGGTTCATCTGATGTCCTGAACAACCTGTGTCCCATGTTCTTGTATTAAGTCCCCACACAAATGTACAGTGTTCGATCAATAAGAGCATTCCATTCTATGTACTCTGTCTCTCAAAATTCCGTTATACAAAGCGATTCTGTTCTCTGGAATTCTACGAATTTCAGGGGTTTGATGTCTGCAATTGCTCGATACTCTGTTTTGTTTCCTCTGTTCTTTCATACCCAACTCACTCGTTTCTATTGCTTCCTTCACATTATCCGCAAATTGAACTTTCTTCTTCTTCTTCTTCTTCTTCATCATCTTTCTCTCCCTTTTCTTTTCCTCTGAAAAAAAACCATACCCCAAAGTGAGGAAAATAGTTTTCTCAAGAAAGTTAGGTGAATCAAAAAGAAAGGAGAAGTGATTTATTTACCTGAATATAAGCAAGAGCGTAAGATTTGTTTGTTAGAAGAGTCATCATCATGAGAATCAGGATTCCCCCCGTGAATCTTTTGCCTTGAGAAAGCAAGATAAAGAACAGTGCTTGATACAAGCATAGCTGTGGTGAGAACAAGACCTTGTGAGATAGAACTCACCATGTGTTCAGAAGAAGAAGAACAAGAACAGAGAAAAAGAGGACTTTTATGTTGACCTGAAACAGAGAAGGATGTTGTAGAGTTTTATAACTATAACTGCATAAATAGAGAGAGGTGTGGGTGAGTTTGTGAAGAAATAATATAAAATAATATAAAATGAAAAAGAAAATGGACTTTGTTTAAAATATTTGTGGATTGTTGTAAGGTGATGGATGAAAAAGAATGGCAATAGTTAATTGGTGGTTGATGATGTGAGCATCTAGAATTCTCTGATGGCCGATGGGGTTTTAGAAATGGAAAGAGAGAGAGAGAATATAAGAAAGAAAGGAAGAATTAAGAAAAGAGGAGTTTGAGTTTGAGTTTGAGTTTGAGTTCGGTTTGGATTTTGCTTTTATAAATTATAAGAAGTTTGAGAGAACCATACGATGAATGCGGTTGCGGTTTGTATTGTGCTTTGCGTGTCTTGTGTTGTTGTGTGTCATATGTGGGGGGTGAGGTCACTGTAAACGTCGACAACCTTAGCATGAGTTTTGGATTCATTGTGTTAAAAAATAGAGTAAAGTTGATTCGTAATTTTTTAAAATTTAAAATAGATTCATATAAGTCCTTTTCACTTTTGAGAAATTAATCCGATCTTTTTTGAATTTCAGATGGATTATAAGTTCGACTAATTGATTTTATTTTGAATTTTAAAAGAATCAAAAATTGACTTTTTTTCTAAGAGATTAAAATAGGTCCGTAATTTTTGTTGAGGACCCAAAAAGTACTTTACTTTAAAAAATAGATCAAAAGTAATTAATTTTTAAAATTGTATATATAAATTTGTTGGTTAAAAAAAAAATTTAAGGATAAATTAGTTGGCAACTGAGCTCCTAAGAGTGAGTTCAAACCTTTTGAATGAGCCATTCTCCAAGAACAAGGTGACCAGATGAGGTTGAATGAGGATACTTTCATGATATATAAAAAAATTAAAATAATATAAGAAAATAAATAAACAAAACCACGTAATTTTGGAGTGACCAAAGATAAAATATATCTCAAACAGTTTGAGAAATATTTTTCTTTTATCACTAAACATGTATATCAATTGGTAAGGAATTGTTCTAGTTTAATTAATTGTCTTAGTTGAATTAATTGATTAATAGATAAATTGGTGAAGAAATAAAAAAAATACTAATTTTTGCACTAGCTAAATATTACAATTATTGTTATCAAAAAAAAAAAAAATATTACAATTATTGTATTTTTTTTCAAATTCGATTTTAGTTATATGATTCTGTTCTTACTAAAAGACAGAGATGTCCAGCCGGTGGCTGGTATATTTTATGTAGGATCTATGTACCATCTTTCATGTATCTATGAATGAGATACCTTTGATGGTAGGCTGATCACTGTGCACAATGATAATCAACATAGTCAAGGCGTGGGGTGTGTGCACAGTGACAAGCTAAGAGAGAGGATTTTGAGAGTGTGTACCTTATTGGTTTAATTCCTTATTTATACAAGGGTTACCTGATAGGAGTGTACTGTCGGGCCTCTTAGGAATATTGAGGGCCCAAGTCCAACAGCTTAGCTGTCTGGATAGAATTGTCGTTAATAGGAGATTCTCTTCCTTTTGTGCTGTCCTTTTTGGTCCTTCTAGAATATGAGTCTTTGTCAGGTCCATAACAAATTTCTTTCTTTTGTTGACTTTCGAATAAACTAATAAAACTATTACATGTTCTGGGATATGACATATAGAAATTTGTCACAATGTATATATGTAAAAAAAAATGATAATAAATTATCAGATTGTTTTCCTGCCTGACAAATCTACACACAATTAAGTTTTGTCTTACATGATGTTCATGATTTGCGTTGCATGAACATTGTTCTCTCCGTCGATTAACATTTCACATATATTCCTTTTTTATGGCTTCATTTCAGATAATGTTAGTTTGTGGAATAAATATTTGTATTCATACGGCCCTTCAGTAACTTATTAATTCACAAATTATAAAAAAAATTCCCAGAGTCAGAAACTCCATACTCTCTTACCATAATTTATATTTTTTAGCTGTCTCGAACTTAACCATAACAAAGTATTGATATTTTTAGCTAACTATAGCTTCAATGATATTATAAAAATCAACCCATATTTAATAATCTACTAGTAATTTCTAAAGAAATTAACATTCTAAGTAGGGTTGGCAAAACGGGCCAACCCGGCCCGACCCGTATTCAACTCAAAAAAAACAAACTGAGTTTGGGTTGATTCGAAAAAAAACGAGTCATAAAATCCAACTCAGCCCAATCCGAGTCGAGTTAGGGTTGGCTTGTGGGTTGGTCCGAAAATAAGCTCGCGGTTTGGTTTGGAAAAAAGCTCACGGGTTGGCCTAAAAAAAGCTCGCGAGTTAGCTCAAAATGTTGCCAACTGGTTGGCTCGCGGGTTGCTGAGTGTCCAGTGAAATGAACCGAGCAACCCATTTCTTTGATCCAGATCAAATCCTGCAACAAACTCATTGACCGAGAACTCTACCATGTCAATGAGACTCACATCTCAATACAGAACAAGAAAAAAAAAAAAAAGTTGAAACCTTTTAAATCAGCACGAGTTGCTGGTGAGTCATCTCTCTTGAACACAACTTTTCCATTATTAACAGCAAGAACCCAACAATCCTTGGATAACTTCTTAACACAATACTTAGCTACAGAAGTAGATGGCTGGATTTTATGAAGACCCCGAGGTGTTCCAACTATAACATGAGTTGCAGAATAAGCATTTGCTTCTCGAACCAGAATGGGTACGGGTATAGCAATTTTTTATATTATTAATTTTTAATTAAAAAATAACTCATCCCGCGAACTGACCCGTTTAACCGCGAGCTGGCTCGTTTTTGTCTGGATTGGCTGGGGTCGAGTTGACTCGGGTTAACAACTCATTTAGATCATTCCAACCCGACTCATTTGTGACAGTTATGAGGCTCGTTTTTGCCATCCTTAATTCTAAGAACACGTAATTTTCCAATCTCACTGCTAAATTCAGTTCTTACACGTAGGTGGGTGACTAATAGTGATTAACTATCGATGAATTCTTGTCCAGTCCATTATATCATGGGACTATGATGGGGCATAGAATGAAGTCGATTAACCTTTTTGACGCGTGTTATCCGAAGAAGGACAACATATTTTCCAAAACTGTGCAACCGAGTGTAACGCGTGTCCATGTATTGAGCAAATTAAGTGACTTATATCCAGAAGAGGCAGAGGCAGATATGTACTTAATAAATACCAGAAATATTATAAAGTGTACATATTTAATCTAAAGCCATAGCATTTTATAATTTCTAAGTAAATTCAATAAAATAAAATATCTCAAAATTATAAAGGGATAAAGTATGCAGCTAGTTTTATTCAAAATATTGGTGTATACATTAAAATTAAATAAAAGAGTTTTATGATGTTATATAAATTTAAAGAGTTATATTTTACAAAAATAAAAAATAAAATTAAAGAGATATTTGAATATTAAACGAGAAAATATCACACTTTCTTAGGGGAGAAAAATCAAATACACGTGTTGAGCTAATATATTTTTAAAAAAATTATTTCTTGAAATTAGGCATCAGCCAATGAAAAGATTCCACACAAAATTACTATTAAATAGCGTTGTCGACTTTCCAGTTTCCAGACCTTCCTGCATGTGGGGTAACCATATCCAACAGAATCAAAAAACATGATGAAGTGTTGCTTCTCAGTTCATTGTAATTATAATTTATATATTTATAATAAATATTATATATAATTAATCAACCTGACCAGTAAGTTTTTGAATATATGTTCAATCTTATTTAAATTATGTAATCACAATGTCGTACTACATATATATCAGCTTACTGCTCCAACTTTGAATTGAATGTAACTAAGCTGAAGCAAGAAACTATGAAATCTAAGCTTACTGCATTTTAGAGCCATATTTGTTTGCTCCCATGTTATCAAATACCAAGAGCTTTGTTATGACCATCACATGGTTGCTGAGTTGGAAATTCCAGCACCAGAAAGGAATATAAGATAACCCAATGGTTCTTTCATTATATATCATTTGTCATTTAACTATACTACTTGAAGTCTCCATTATATACTCAACCTCACAAGTGTTTTTTTCCTAAAAAATTTCCAGGGTTTATATTTAAGGCAAAATATAGTTTATCATGAAAAACAGGAAGCAGAAGAAAGATGTCCCAAAACAAAAAGGGCCCTGAACAATGATATCATAGTGTTAGACAACAGCCAAAGACAGCTACAAAAGAAACATGGTTAAGAAAACAGGAATACATCCATAATAATAACAAGCCAACAACAATCAAATCATCAGATTCTAAAATGTGGGAGGCCATATTCAGAAAAATAAAAACATTGTTCACAGGAACATTACAATTATTGCTCACTCTTAAGGTCACCACAAGTACTATATTTTGTGAACAAAGTAACAAAATGAAACTAAGTAGTAAGGATGGGTGGTAGGTAGTCAGCTTTACCGCCAAGAACACGAGCCTTGGTGTCAGGGAAGAACTCGAATCCTGGTAGCTCTGTGACAATTCCTTCGCTGGAAACCCCAACAGGATAGCGTAGCAAGTGACCAGGAAGGTCATGCTCAAGCGACTCACTTGAATACAGATCCCAATATTTGTCAGCAAACTGGTTCACCTTCCTAATACATTCTTCACTTTCAGGGTGGAGGAAGGAGTCATGAAGCATGCCAAGGTGCTCATACCACAATGACATGCGGAAACCATGAATCTGACCCCTTGCTGGCTGCCTGTTAGCCAAATGATAGGGTTGATAAGCACCCATTGCAATCTCTGAGTCTCTTGCACCATCCATTGATCTCTGGTTTATGTTGGCAGATCCAACGATTATGTATTCATCATCAACTGCAACAAAATAAATAAAAATGATTCCAAGAAATGGCTTCAAAATCTAGACTATAAGTGAGGTTTCTGTAGCATGTAAGATTGTTTTTACAAAATATGTGGTAAAGTTGTTCTTTCATGACGGAGAGGTCATGGATTCGAATACAGGAAACAGCCTCTTTGCAATTATGCAAAGATAATATTGCATATAAGGATTACCTCACACTCGCTAGTCGAGTTTAACTGGGAGTGATTTTTTATACAGAAGCTTAAAATTTTGTGACTTACCAATCATCATCTTGGCATGAACATAAATCATGAAGCGCCGAGCCTCTTGGGCTCTCATATAATCTGAATCAGGTTCTGGTTTTTCTGGAGGCTCATACTCTCCTTGTTTCTTCACCTCCCTATTACCAAGGCAGAAGAATGTCAAATAGTTGCGAGGATCTTCTTCAATTCCCTTGGCTTTGAGTGCCTGAATAACATCTTTGTACATCATATCCATTGTTCTCCTCTGCCAGTCCAATATTGCCTGAACTGATCCACTTTCTGGGACACCCTCTGGCCACATTGGAACCACAACATACACAGTGAACCTTTCCCCAGCTTCAATCTTACTAACAATCTTAAGTGAAAGCTCCTTCGGGATTAGATGCAAAGCACCAATGTCTTCGGGCTTAATACCATCAGCACTCCAGGCATAACAGCTTCCAAGGAAATACTGATTTTCAATATAGATGAAATTCTTTGCACGTCGAATAGCATTAATATAAGCATCCTGAATACTACGATCTATTATATTATCCTTCCCACTAACAAGCCCTGCTCTTGCAGCATCTTCAGGAGTATCTGGGAACCCAAAAGCAGCTCCACCATCAATAGATCTAAATAACTGAACGTTCCATGTCTCATGATCATCAGGGAAAGTAACTGGGGATGGGGTAATAATGACATCTTCAAGGTCTCTCAGTGGAAGAAGCAAGTCTTTCCCACCCTGCTTCCTCCATCTCTGCTCAAAGTTAAACAAAACATCCCAAGCAATGGGGCCTTCAAGCCGAGAGTGGATGTCATGCCAAGGTTCCCTTGGACCACCTTTTTTTATTGTAGCACCAGGAAAGTTAGGCTGATGAAAATCATCATGATGTACTGTGTCCAGGGTTCTGAAAAGTGAATGGAAGGGAGTATCATATCTTCCATCACAGAGATCAATACCCCCAACAAAACTCACAATTCTTCGCTTATCTGACTCTCCACTCGGTAACTCACTGTCCACAACCAAAATTTTCTGGTGATGAGTAAACATGGTGGAAATTTCTAAATCCTGAACAATGCTTCCACCGTTATCAGGATTGCGAGGGCATAAAACACAGTGCACTTCAGTGCCGTGGAAGTACTGCTCGGTTTCTTGATCATGAGTAGCCATCAACCCATCTTTTTTTAACAAACCAACTGATGTTCTATCATCCCAAACGAGCATTAAAACCCTGACGCCTTCATTTGCTTTTTTCTTGAGAAGCTCACCAAGTGTTGTGTCTCCTCCAGGCTTTGGCCTCCTAGAATCCCTTACCAAGGTAATCTCAGTATAAACAGACCAGCCGGTAATGTATATCATGTGCCTTGCTTTAGTGATTGCATCAAAAACATCCTCCCAACATCTGTCAGGCTTGTATGTCTGGCCTCCAGCAAGTGGTATTTTGGGGACAAAATTGTCTGGGACATGAGCACCTTGGTACAGAGAAACCTTACATCCTTGTCTCTGTGAGAAGAAAGTATAAGGAACTCCAGGAAATTTAGGACTTCTAATGCCAAGAGCCCAGTTGCGATCATGTGAAACATCAAAATATTGCAGCTTTACATGGATCTTTGAATGTCCATGTATAGGATTTTTATGCTCATCCAAGATTTCAACCCATCTGTCTATTTCCTCACCACCCAAGACCTCTTGAACAGGAACATATGCTCTCCCAATTAAGGTTGCCCCAATAGGATTATCATCTTTCACAGTGAATATGATATTTGATGCCATATGGGCACAATAAATGTGAAAAGACTCGTACCATCGAGGATTATGATGCTCCTTTTCTATAATTCTGGTCCTTCCCACTCGTGCCTTCTCGAGATCAATGGTTGCATAAAATCTAGTAACTCCTTTTCCAAAACCAACAGTTTCCTCTATGTTTGTTACGATCTAAACAGAACAATGTATACGGAATTAGCAATACAAGCTGTCAATAATAATGTACATGGGAAACAAAGGTGCAAAAGTAAAACAATTGAATATTATCTTTTCATCAGGTGTGCATTTATGTACGAGCAAAAAAGTATGAATAAATTATCTACAGTAGTAAAATGCCTGCGCTGATCGAGAAATTGATAAGGCAAAGCATTTTAGCCCATTCTTATATAGATTCCACCGGAGGCTTTGATAAGGTTGAAGTTTAGCCACTAACACAAAATCAAATAACTAAAGGCTCCAGCGTGCTTAAGATTTTTTATTTTTATTTTGTTGGGAATAAAATATAGCATAAGCAGAATAAAGGATACATATGATAGAATTGAAAGTTTTCATGAGCTCTGTAAAGAATCTGGACTCGGAACACCATAATCAAACCCAAAACCTTAAGGCCATGGGTCCTTCCACTTATATGGTGCTTACTTGGCCTAGGGTCGACGGTCTCTTCCCGTGCACAGCCCAACAATTGGTATCAGAGCTAGCTTTTGGGGTGATGTATCCCAAGGTTCTTTACATGGTATCAGAGGAGCTTGAGTGACTTTAAGGTCACAAGTTCGATCCTCACCGCCCCCCATTTTAAAGTGGAATTAAAATAAAAGCACAAAGAAGGTAAACCAAAAATTGGGCCTGTGCAATATCCACGCTTCTAGCCCAATGGACTCTCGTGTGAGGGGGCGTGTTGAGATATATAGTCTCATATTGGTTATAAGTGCAACTAATGTGAAGTTTATAAGGCATTGGACACTCCTACCCTTTGAGCTAGCTTTTGGGGTGATGTATCCAAGGTTCTTTACAAACTCATATACGAGGCTCATAAACTCAAGGATATCTACCTTATAAATACTTTAGAGAGAGCAACTAGATCCAATAGTAATTCACTAGCTTATTGGGTTAGACATCTCTGTCTTCGTGACAGAACAAAAGTTATTGAGGTAAAAGAACATAAGGTTATTTAAATTGAAGACTGATAGGCTGCAAATTGATTGCAACAACAAGGTTGAAACCACAATATCTCCTTCGAAAATCCAAACTGATGAATCATTAACACAAAAAAAATAAATATATATAGAAAAAAAATCCTGTTTTTGAAGTCAATTATTTTTCCAAATAATCAGAGAAACCCCCGGCAGAGATTTCTCGGTTGAAGAAATTTGGAAAAAAAAAAAAATGAAAAGCCAAAAACGCTCAAAATCAGAGACCACAGCACACTTGAAAAACCGATCTTCTCGTTTGAAAGAAGATTAACAACACTAATATACTGTAATAACACTGTGCTAATATCAACTAATATCCACTAACTAAAAGCAGCTAATTACGACAGAAAAAATCTAACTGCAAATCTTAGAAGTAACAGAAGTTTAACAAACTAACTGAAAGTCAGTTAGTAACGATGGTTGTAAGAGATTTAGTTGAGGTGAAACCAAACCTTAGTCAAAATATTGCCACCACGAGTCTTGAGCTTATCGACCTCATAGATGGTGGCGTGGAGAACCCCGTGTAACAGTATTTGCGCCATCACTTACCTGCAACAACCACAAAGCATATTTAGATTTAGATTTAGATTTAGATTTAGATCACACAAACAATTTAAAACCACGTGACTTTTTGCGCCATCACTTTCAAACATATCTTCAAAAATATTAAAAATAATAATAAAAAAGGATCGGATATTGGATTCGGATCGGTGGTGATTGAACTGAAATCAGTGTTGAAGAGTGAAGAGTAAGAAGATGAAGAAGAAGAAGACTAACTTGTGCAGAGGGAGGAATGTGAAAGGAAGAAAGTGAGAGATATTGGAGAAAGGAGCAGTATATATACATACAATAATAAGTTCATTGAATTTCGCAATTCCCTGAATTTCAATGCCAATTGCCAATTGACAGATGGGATGATAGATCATGTCATTCTCTCTTTTTTTAAAAGGGATTTAAGATCGTTCTCCATAACTAGGGGTGTAAATGGGCTGGGCTGGGCTGAGCTTTGGTCATCCTGGCCCAAGCCTACGTCAAAAAAAATTCAGCCTATCTGGCCTACTGGCCTATTAAAGGCTTTATTTGTAGGCCAAGCTCGGCCCATTTTCAAAAATAAGAAAGCCCGACATGGCCTACAGGCCTTGTAGGCCTCCCACTATATATACTAAGCAAAAAAAATAATTGTTGATATCAAAAAAAAAAATAATAATAATAATTGTATAGAGCAAAGAAAGCTCCATTCATGCATGCACTAATACTTCTCATAAGAAAAAAATGACAAACAAGAAAGAGTCAACATACAACCTCAGCTCTAGAATGTATATCATAGAGGAATAGAGTCAAAGAAATGGGAAAAATATGAAAAATACAATTACTGGATGCTGAAATAAATTCTACAAGAGAATGTCATTCATTTAAAAATCTTTAAATCACCATCAAGATAAGGGAAAGAAGAGTATTATTGAAAGATTTTCATCAGCAACATCATAATCCAGCAAGGTACCCATTGCTCTATGGTATTAAGCTGCAACAGCATGTAAAATTTGGAGACATTAGACAAGTTTTCCTTTCATAGAATAAAATAGCACAAAAAGTAAGAGATATTAGTATTTGGTACTTTGTGTCTTTGCCACATAAAATAAATATTATTTTATTATTTTATTTTAATAAATTAAATAGGCCAGCCTACAAGGCTGTAGGCCGGGCTTGACAAAATTGGCCTATGGCCTATTTATTAAAAAATCTTTTTTATAAGCCTAAGCCTACTCTATTTTTCTGAAAGGCCGGGCCTGGGCTGGGCTCAATGTAGGCCGGGCCGGGCCAGCCTGGCCCATTTACACCCCTATCCATAAGGTAATTTTATTTTTGAGGTTTGATTTTTTTTACACGAGAATTGAATTTTTATGTTGTGACTTAATTAATAGTGAACTTCACATTTATTAAAAGAAAAGAAAAATTTTACATGCAAATTAAGAAAAAAGAGTCACAACATGAAAAAATATTTTTTCTTTATTTTTTTTACACACGTTAAAATATGAGTCCATATGAAATATGTGAAGAGAACAGAAATTAAGAAAAAATACAAGTCTATACATTTTTGGTTTTAATATGTCTAAAGTGAACGTAGATAAGTTATCTATATTCACTCCCAAAATGATATTGTTTTTGATTGTAAGATTAAAAAATTATACTGAAAAAGACTATCATAACCTTGAAATAAATTTAATTACAAAAACATCTTGATTTCCATCCTAAAACAACATTGTTTTGAGCTCAATGTAGATAACTTATCTATATTGATTGCAGAAAAAATGAATCCTATATTTTTATATATTTATAAAAAATAATTTTATTTTCTACGGTGCAAAAAAAGATTAAATCCTAAAACTTTTTATGTATATCATTTATGGGTTTAATAGCTCTGTTGTTGTCTGTAGATCAGAAAATGTGCAGCAACATTTATTTTTTATCAAGATCCGGATTCGTATCCTGAATTTTTTATTATTATTTCAGGATCCAACTCCGTATACTAGTGCAAATATATTTGCTGTAATTTTTTTCATATACAGCAACAGTAGAAACGAGGAACCATCATTTATATGAATGATTTATTTTTTAGGATTTGGTTTATCTTACTACCTACCATGTTATGCATTCAAACCTCAACTCTTTTTTCTATTTTTATTTTTTAAAGGTGGGTTTACTAATTAAAAAATGTAAACATAAATATATTACTTTAATTCCTAAACTTGTTTGTTAGTGTTTTCTTTCTCATTGTTGATTTTTTTATTATTTATATTTATTTTCTTTAAGTTCTTGGAAACGAAATCTACATCATTGCTTGGTTTAATGATTCAGTGACTCTTGAAAAAAAAATATCAATGGAAAGCAAAAAGCATTTGGATAAGTTTCGAAGTCACGTACGCAGAAAAATTATTTTATTTCTGAAAAAATTAGTATTTTTTAATGTCGGGTTTGTCACTAAGCCGGTCAGGATATTACATTAAAACTGCATGGTTCAACTGGGGAACAACGGATTAAATCGTTTGGACTAGGTTTATCTATAAGTATGCAATAAATATAGAGAGGGATATATTCACTACCAAAATTTTTCACTACCAACTTACTACCTATCTAATCATTATTAGATTAACATTTTCTCTCTTTTCAAATTTTTTTTAACATTCTCTCTATTTGATCCAATGGTGATGTGATGAGTAATAAGTTAGTAGTAAGAATTTTTAGTAGTTAAAATATCTTCACTCGTAAATATAATGATAAAATAATTATATCACACATGTGATCGTAGCTTAATGGTTAAAGGTTCATTCATGTCTTGTATTTCCCAAAAAAAAAGTTTCATGTCTTGAGCTACATGTGCTGCATCAGATCCCAGGTTCGATTTTTGAGTTTTGACATTTTTTTTTTTGAAATTTAAACAAACTTTAATAATTCAAATTTTATGTGAAAACGAATATGAAATCTCAATTATCTGAATGAATCTCTTAACGACTCATCTTATTTTTTTAAAGTAGTTGGATGTTATTGTTAACTTCATCGTGGCACATCTAGTCGGAATAGGACCAAAAAAAAAGAAAAAAGAAAACTAAAGGAAATAAATATTACTAGGCACGTGCACCGACTTAAAAAGCACTCCAATTTTCCAAAATAAAAAATAAAAAAGCACACCAAACTTGATCTGAAAAATTCAAGTACTCAATACTATTGTCTTTTTTATTGCACTACTTGATATTTATTATTTTCTAATAGAAGACGAGAGGAGGATGATATTTTATCTTATTGCAATCCCATGATCATATAGCGTTTAAAAAGGAATTAGGAATGAAAAGTGACTTAGGTCACGTGGTTGCCCTCCACTATTAAAAAATGTTTGGGTTGAGTTTGAATGATTACTATTGTAGCAGGTATCAGGAGTGATAAATAAACCAAGGTTCTTTGGCTAGACTCGTGAAAGTCTGAACTTACATGTCTGGTTGTTGGAACCAGGCTTGAACTTATATAAAAGCTCGTTTAATAAAAAGGTCTTAAGCTTCAATTCAAAAGCTCGGCCTTAGATCTTCTCAGACTGGTCTAGTATATTAATTTTAATTTTAATTTTTTATACTACTCTTTCTCCTCAATCCATTTCGCCCCATTTTATTGGTTAAACAGAATTTTTGAATGATTTTGTTGTATGTTATGTTGTTTGGATATACATTGAATTTATGAATATTTATAGAATTACTAGTCTTGTTGATTGTATATTCTGTTTGGATAAATTTTTGTTGTTTTATTTTTTTAAAAAGACTAATAGACTAAATCAGACTTTTATTTTTTGTAAATAAGTCAGGCCACAAAGCGATAATTATATTCATAACAGGTAACAGGCTTGGTCAGACTGATACATTTAAATACAGACTTAATTTTTTAAGATCAAAACTCGGCTCAGCTCGTTAACACCCCTAAGAGGCACCTCATGCATCCGCATCTGCCTCTCATGCAAAAGCATGTGTAGAAGACCAAAAGCTCGTAGCTCTCAGAGCAAGATGAATACTGAATATATCACTTGTATCATTCAGCTGATTCACTTTTAACTAATGAGAAAACCATTCTATGAAACTTATCCTGTCCGAAAACCTGATCTGATCTTAGATTAGGTCAACCATCTTGTTACCTTCCGTTTTTTACTAAAACATTAATGATACATGAACTACTTATTATAATTTGATTATCCTGATAATTTAATTTTGGGAAAAATATTTCTTCAGTTAGCAGAGATAAAGTTATCTCAAGTGAATTTAAAACGACATCATTTTGGATTATAAGATTAAAAAATTATAATGATAAAGACTAATATAATCCTGCAATATACAGAATTATAAAAATATATCAATTTTTGCTCAAAACGATATCGTTTTGAGTTCACCGAAGATAACTTATCTCCATAGAAATCCCCATTAATTTTGTGTTAGTTTTCATTTTATCTAACAAATATAGAATCTGCGCCTTTCGTTACATTTGTCTGAAATTTTATGGATGTTATTTGACTATTTCTATTGACTATAACCCGAGTGTATTTTGGTTGGGTTGGTTTCTCGAAGAAGTCAAAAGTAAAAATGTAAATAGTTTGAATGATGTTACATATTTGACATATTGTGAAATTTAAATTAATTTCATAATTCGCTTTTGTGTCCCAAAAGTAAGTGCCCTAAGCTGCCCCGTTGGTTTTAGGTCTACTAACTCCATATAAGTTGGCATGAAAGATGAAATTAGGGATATTGAATTGAGATTTTAAAAAAATTTAATGGATTATTTTTTGATAAAAAATTTTATTGATATTTAATTAGGATTTTAAAGAATGGTAAAAAAGTCACGTAGTATTCGACTAAGATTTTAAAATATTGTTTTAGAGTCCATCTAAATCCGGTGGTATTCAATCAGGATTTTGACATCCTCATAATCAGAGACAATAGTGATATCAGAAATTAGCTCTTTATTGACACCAACCAGACCTCCCAACAAAATAAACCCGGAATCTCTTTCCTTCAAGGCCTTTACAATCCGAAGGACAGACAAATACAGTGACTCTTTTTTTTTCATCATTAGAGGAAATAGAAATGGTCTTGCTGCAGCAATCAATCTTTAAACTGTACTTAGACAATCAATCCATTCCCAAAATCATATTCACAAAGGTAAGATGCAAGACAATAAAGTCAGTAGAATACTCCATGTCATCATACTTGAACTTCACATTTTTACAAATAAATGTTTCTTCAAACACATTTTCCACAGCCGTAACAATACATGTAAGAACCA